TAAAAACATCCATAATTAAGTTCACCCACCTAATTAAATTTAAGGCTCGACATTTTGTGATCATATTAAGTTACCACAACACTACGTTGTAATAATGAATAGTCATATTTATGTAAATAAGACTTATTTTAGTAATATTCTTGTAAAAAAAAACCCTAATATGTACTTCCTTTCAACAACAACAAAAAGGAAAGATAACTACTTCTAGTATGAAATTAGACACTAAAGATTCCATGCCACATACACTCAGATATTAGACCTATGGTCCATAGCATTTTCAATCAAGTTTAGTGAGTTTAGGTACACTCTTTTAAAGTAGTGTCCATAGTTTTCTTTTTCAAATGAACCCTTTCAAATTTAATGATAAAATATCCATTCCTGTTTTCACTTGTAGTCATATTTTCATTTAAAAGGTAATTTAGATATACCTCTTAATGTCATTTACACTTCTAAACTTATTTTATCTATCTCAAATTAACTTCGCATTTCATTTGGAGTAATTGCCGTCAAGCCTTTTCTTTCTCTTGATGAATATCAACTACCCAATTTTGATTATCTTAATAAGGTTTGTTCAAAAAGGGAATTCAATGAGCAAACAAGGTCCAAGTTATTGTTAACTTGAAATAACTATTGACATTTCACTTGCACACTCTATGACTTATCAATCATTTAATTGGGAGCTTCTCTTTTCAAATATAGCCTCTAGTACAAAAAAAAACGAATACTATGTATTATTTAATAATGAATCTTACTCCACCGACTGTTACTATTACTTGTGTGGTTGTTACTTTTAAATTTCACAGGTTGGAAGAGGGTATGTCAAAAACGTAATATTTGAGAATCTTTTCTTCAACTCCGTTGACAATCCCATCATCATTGATCAATACTATTGCGACTCACAAGAATCCTGTGACGATAAGGTAAACAAAACTCACCCACATTTTAATCTTATGCTATGTTAAGTTTAATTTTTTGACTATCCCAAATGAATCCAAATGATTAGCCAATGTCCCTAGTAGATTATAGTTTCTTCTTCTTTTCCATCATCTCTATCACACAGTATAATACACATGTTTATCCCTCGTACTAGTGTTTTTTTTACTCTAGGGGCGCCAGGGAGAGGGGGCTGGGGGCCTGGAATAATGAAGGTTGAAACTCACTCCATTGAGTTTCGAACTCGAGACCTCCTGTAAGGGAGAGTGAGTCTGCGACCAGCTGGGCTGAACCGCTTCCTCCCCTCGTACTAGTTAAACTTGACAAATATTTACGGACCCTAAGTATTTGGGACTTGAGTGTGTTCATTTGAAATGAAATTTACTAGTCTAGTTTGTTTAAGTTAGGTCTCTTTGGGACTTGTGAGTGTTCATTTGAAATGAAATTTACTGGTCTAGTTTGTTTAAGTTAGGTTTGATTTGTTCTGTTCTGATCAAGTTGTCTGTTTTGATCTATTTAAGCCTTATGTTACCTTATGAGACCTTATCTAACTTAAACTTTTATCAAATGTGCACACAAACATACGCTTGCTCATGTCTATGATCACTGTGATATGAATAAAAAAACTATGTTCATTTAGGACTTTGATGTGCAAAAAGGACATTTCTCTTACTACTTTGATATGTACAACTTTACAAGGAATGTTTCAGAATTGCCCTGACCTAATGTATGTTTGAATGAAAACAGGGAAGTGGTGGGGTCCAAATTAGTGGAGTTGTGTTTAGGAACATATATGGAACATCAAACACAGATGTTACTGTGAACCTCAACTGCAGCAAATCCACACCATGCACCGACATAAAGTTGCAGTTTGTGCATTTGGAATCAGTGTCACCTGGGAATCTTGTCACTGCTGAATGTGATAATGCTTATGGCCAGGAATTTGTAGTCGCACCTGGTCCTTGCTTGCTTGATTCTTGACCTACTCTTTTTTTTATCCCCAGTTGATTATTATTTCTAATTATGATGGCAATCTGTGCTATGGTACACAACCAAATAATGTCATTTTTGTAGCCATATTATGGGCTAAATAGAAAATATGGTCTTCGTATTATTGTTATCTTCAGTTGTACTCTGATATTCTCAGAATGAGAATCATTGTCTTTGTGAGAATAATCATGTTTTATTTATGATCCTTTAAAATTGTACTGCTAAATATAGGAATTAGTTTAAACTTCTAATTCTATAGTGATACCAAGAAGTCACTAACCATTCATCATTATCATTATCATTATCAATATCATTACCCCAGTGCTGCAAAGGCTCCCCCACCTACGGTAGGGTAAGGGGGGGTCAGATGTACGCAGTCTTATCCCTGTACTAAAGCACGGAGAGATTGTTTCCAGATGACCCATAGTTAAAATCGCGTCTAAAATTGCATAGACTGACTGATGCTTCATAACAAAGAAACAGACTCTCTTTGTTATGAAGCGCAGACAGTTTAGTGAGCCATTTTGCTTTATTCCATCATATTCTCAAGCCAAAAAATAGTAAGTCTTTGGCCCCATTGCAAATGATGGAAAACAAGAAGTCGCTAACCAAATTAAAAAAAAAAACTTTATATTATGAAAAACAGTACATCAGAAACTCAGAAAGCATAATTATTTTTTCAATTTAGAAATAGAAAATAGAAGACAAACCTACAACTTTCTGTTTCTTTTATCATCTTTTGACTTTAGGAAAAAAATCAATTCTATAATCTGCTTGTCTTCTAGAAAAAATAGAAACGAATTTTTAAAAATTAGATACTTCACTTACAACTATGAGCACCACTTATGAGATTTCTATCATAATATATTACTCTCTCGTCCCAATTTGTTTTGCAAAGTCAACATTTTTTAATAATAATATACTAATAATAAAAGTCAACCCTTCTTATGCATAATTAATTTAATTTTTAATAAATAAAATTTTTTTATTCATAAATTACATCAAAATCTTTTCAAAGTTGTAAACTTCAAATTAGAATATAATTAAAAATTGGCATCCTAATTAAGTGAACAAAACGCAACTGTTTGACCAAGAAAAGTCAAATTTGCAAATCAATTTGGGACGGAGTTTGTACTTCTTAATGTCTTCACCAATTTACCGGTGACCCTTACTCTACCACACCCAATCTTACCCATCGCTAATGGGCAATGGAAACAACAAACACGAGCATATCTTTTGACTCTAAGAATTTTCATAGTCCACAAAGACAATTGGAGATGTATATTTGATTTGAAATGTTTTATTACGGTAAAAAGGTGTTTTTTTTTTTGCAAACGGTAAAGGTGAGATTTAAAAATGATATTTACGTGTAATCACACTTTCAATATTCACTATTTAAATTTCTAGTTCAAATTACATTAGTTAATTGGTACTTCATTGAGTTCATTCTAGTTTAACCTTCTCAAATATCTCTTTTGGACGTCCCAACTAAACTTCTCATTTATTATTATAGAAAATAATTAACATTCTTACATGACAATTTAATGATCAAATACTAGTATTTAAGATAATACACTTGTAACATCACAATTATCATCAACTTCATAATATTACATACTCATCAAAACCAATATTCAAAATATACTCGAATCAACCTATTGCATTATTGTGTAAATAACAATGTAATTTTCCACGGAAAACTTACACTAGGTCAGAGATAGTATTCAATTAAATACGGAGTAACAGCTTTCTAGTGGGAAAATAAATAATATACCCTAAACTTTGCATAGGTGTGTTATCCTCACCCCAAACTTGTCCACATTGTATAAATATCCTATACTTTGTAAAACTGAGATGTTTATGCCCCATGACCTATTAAACAACCTATGAAAGCACACATTTTCTTAGGAATCACTCATCTTTTTTTGCCAACTAAATCAATTTAACATTTTTTAATTTGAGAAATATTATTTGATAATTAAAATTTGGTACCAAAAATTTTAAAAAATAAAGTTGAGGGTATTTTTTAAACTAGAACAAGTACAGGGTGGAGAGCTCACACCAAACAAGGCAAAGTTCGGGTGTATTATTTATTTTCCCCGTTTTCTAGTCAAACTTTTGTGATTACATTCAAACCCTGTTATAACACCAAAACTTTAATGAAAAGGGTAGAACTTTTGGCACAACCCACAAGAAAAAGGGAAAAACATTCTATGAGATAGTGAGCACTTTATTAGTAGTAGTCTAGTAGATCACCTAAAAGGCTAAAAGGAAGATTAATTTATCACTTGGGACTAGGAGGACTCTGGGAGGAGCCGAGTAGGGGTGGACCGGGCCCGGTCCGATTCCGATTCAGGCCTAGCGGGGCTTAGATGGTTTTGGGTAAGGCCCGAGACTGGCCCGGGAGTCTACCGGTTCCGGTTTTTTTCTTATTTATTTCAACTCTCACCCCCCCCCCCCCACCCCCACCCGTAAACCCCTCAGAAACACCCAACCCAACCCACCTAAACCCAACCCAAACCCAAAAAAAAAACCAAAAATAAAAAATAAAAGGCCCGGAACCGCTCCCGGTAACCCCCTCGGGCCGGGCCTAAGCCCGGTACCGGAACCAGTTTCCCGGGCTAGGCCGGTTCTTGGGCCAGTCGGCCCGAACCAAGTCCATGCCTAGAGCCAAGGAGGTGGGACAAGGGAAAAAAACTCATTTTGCTCGACTGTCAAAGAATGTGTCTTACAATAATGTCCCTTTAAATTCCATAACATACTTTTTATAGTCCTCGTTTTATTGGAATTTATTTTATACTTTCCATACAAGGGAAACATGCTAATTGCTAAGCAGAAATTTCCATGACAAATTTGTGTTGGGTTTCACTTTCAACTCTCAACAAAATCCAACCGACATACAAGTTTTTCTATACAGCCCCTGGTCCATAACAATAGGTGGAATTGTATTTTGATGTGCGAAGGTTTATAGAGGTTCATAGAAATCATCATAACAATATAAAAGAATGAAACATAAAATATCTCATGCAAATTGTTTAGAGACCAAGGGACTCACCACTTGATGGACAACCAAGGGACTAAAAGTATACACATAAATACCTGAGGGACTAAATCCGCAATATACCAATAAATGAGGGACCAAAAGTGCTATCTTTAAAAGATTGAAAAACAGTGATCAGGTTGCTTGCGAGAAAGTACAAATCTAAATTGCATGAAATCTGAACTTGTTATACATTAAGTTTCTCATTAAATACAATTGCCAAAGCCCATAATAGTTTTTTCTTGTTCTCTAAACCTCGTTGTAAGAAAATATTTACTAAATGACCGGCATGAGAAAGTGACCTGCAGGCTGCTATGGTACAGTAACTACTCTACAAAACAGGATGAGAGAAATACAGACTTGTGAAAACGTGAGAGCTTTTAGACTCACAACCCCAACTTTTGAATTGAGATTTCCTTAAGAGAGCTCGACAGTCTGTGGAACACTTTTAGTTCATGTCCGATTTTATCCTGTGAAAAACAAGATGCCCAAGAATAAAATATGAGTTCATTTGTTCAGGTTTCAAAGTTTAACTTATCTTTTTGTGGAAGGACTTAAAATAACACAAAGTACTAGCTATAGGCTTAAAGGAGTATGAAATAATTACATAAATATGATCAAAATAAAGATGATTTACAAAAATATGACTAGTGACTAGAGTAGTAATGAAATCATAGTAATTCATGTTCAAGTTTTGAATTTAAGTTACCACAACACCACATTGCAGCAATGAATAGTCATATTTATGTAAATATGTTTTATTTTACTAATATTCTTGTAAAAAACCCAGGTATTCCAATAAATATCGAAAATAATACAAACATGTTTTCTAAGAAATCTGGATAAAGTGATCACATGAAAGGTTGGAGGTGTGATGGAATTTCAAAGTTAGAATTAATTTGGTCTCTGGCCATTGGCCAATAGTTTGTATTGTTTTTTATTAACAGCAACGGTTACAATTATTTAAACCATCACATTAGCTAACTTTTTATTTTACCATAAAATCTGATTGTTTTATCATTTAGCATAATATTGAAATTGGTTAGCTATCCATTTTAGATTACTTTTAGTCTAATGTCAATAGTTGGTATTAAGTAAAGACATCTTGTTTTCTAAAACTAAAAACAAATAAATGACATTCCCCACATGTTCAAAGAAGATATAATACAAGTGTAAGTTAGTAAATGGTCATACCTCACTTAGCGACCCAAGCTTTTCCATTGTAGAAATTACTTTCCCACAAAGGAAGCTCAACTCATCATTATTAGTATCAGGCTTTGAATTATACGTGAGCCTTTTTATGGACTTAGTGGGATCACACTCGTAAGAACTGAAATACATAATAAATAATTAAACAGATATTTAGTATGTCAAGATAATCAGAACAAGCAATGGGATTACAAATCTATACCTGTCTTGAAAATGGAAGAGGATAATATTCATGACATTTTCTGAAACCAGAAGTAATATTGCAATAAGCCGATTTCTGTCTCCAACAATGCGACACATCTCCATCATTGCTATATATCTCCTGTGATTTCAAATATTTAAGGGTTCATTTGTGATGGCAAAATGACAACATTGTCTGTTCAAATTGCCCATGAATGGGTTGTATATAATGTGTCTAATCGGGCCATGCATGTTTGAAAGTTGAAAGTAGATCAGAACTCTGATCAGGTTGTATTTCTAGTTTAGGCTCCATTTGTTTCATGTTAATACATATTCCTAAAACCAAACTGGGCTTTTCTCTGTTTTGGCACCACAAAACCTTTCCTCAAAGGAAAGTATATTTTTCTGGAAAATGATTTTATCTTATACAACAAACAGCAACATTACACCCACCTACGGTGGGTGTAAGGGGTCAGATGTACGCAGCCTTACCCATGTACTAAAGCACAGAGAGACTGTTTCTAAATGACCCATGATAAAAAACGTGTCAAAATTGCATGGACTGACGGTTGCTTCGTAACAAACGAGCACAGACAGTTTAGTGAGACATTTTGCTTTATTCCATCATATTCCCAAGCCAAAAAGTAGTGAGTCTTTGGCTCCATTGGAAAAATGATTTCATTTTTTAAGAAGAAGAAATCCATTTTTATGAAGCAGTTTGGTTGTCATTTTTATGTGCCAACTTGGTAAGGGTTACTCAACTTATTTGGCTGAAATGAAATGGCTGAATTTACTGAATTTTTTGAAAGGAGAGGTGTTTGGTCAATCATTTGACCCAAATAAGTCATTAGTTGAATGTTCTGTTGATAAGCATATAAGCAGAATAAATGAAGCAATACTACCAAACTGGGCCTAAATAAAATAATATACATGGAGCAATAAAAAAAATCTTAGAAGTTAGGAAACCATTTTTCAAGGAAGCATTGCATATGATTAATTACCTACATCCAAAGGGGCCCTTAGTGAATAGATATCTAATACATTTATTATAAGTAGAATATGCATGCAAGAAACCATACGCATAGCTGGTATAGGTAAACTTGTCAACCCACTAACCTTTTCTGTATGTTCTCTGATGATGAAATAGAACCTTCACGTGCATACATATTTATTATTTCATCAACTTCTTGACTAGATAATTCATTTATATCTTGAATCTGCAGAAAAATGAATATGATTTTTTGAATGCCAAATAGAATACTACAGTCATTGATAATGCCACTATCGAATATGCAACCTTGTTGGACAAAAGAAATCTTTCTTCAGAAGCTTTCTCTAGAGCAGTAGTAAGAGAGTAGAGGAGAAATGCAAGTGTTGTCAATGTTGGTTGCTGTTGTCCAGCAGAAGAACGATAGTCCATTGCACCATCAGAGACCTGATGCAAATTTATTGGCAAGGAGAAAATTTGTATTCAGCTTCTATCAATGAAAAACAGTCACAAGTCAATAAAAAAACATCCAAAATGTTCTAGGTGATTGTTTATCAAATACTCCCTTCGTCCCATTTATAAACCCCACTTTCTTTTTTGGGACCCCAAATCGGATCCACTTTCCTTGCTGGAGCTTCTAATTTTTTACATTTCCAATTTACCATGGTTTGACATATTGACCTATTGGCACAACGTTTTATAAATGTTTACCACCATTTACATGGAAAAATTGCAAAATTCATTAACATATCATTTGTTTCCCAATCATGCACGCTAAAAGCAATAGGAGCTTATAAAATGAGCCAATGAGGCATTGTGAGTTCCTTATGTACTCTTGGAATTTTGTTTCTAGTATCAGAGTCATTAATCTTTTTGTGATGGATTTAGGAAATAAAATGGAACCCCCATATTCAAGAAAAAGTAACTTTAGACGAAGAAAACAAGAGTAAATATGATAAGAGTCCGAGAGAGGTCATATTCTGATTAGCGATCATTTCAGAATTTGCCTCAAATTTCCTTTTTTTTGTGAAACAGACACCCAAACGAGTCTGTTGAAAATTCAGAGTTCATTTTTTCCTGAAGTGTTTTTGAATCCAAGACTTGGGCAATTACACAAACATGAAAACTAAGCGAATCTCAAAGTACATCACGTTTATGAGCAATCTCGTCTTCAGACAATGGCATTTGCTGCACTAGCCATTCTGGGCCACAAGTCAGCACACTCTTTACCTATTGGACCAGTGATTGCAGAACCTTTCATTTCACCCTTAGGATTGACTATGACGACAGCATTATCTTCGAAGTACATGAAAACTCCATCCTTTTGGCGAAAAGGCTTTCTCTGACGGACAATGACAGCAGGCATGACCTTCCGGAGATCAGGCTCCCCTTCTTCACAGTAGCCATCACCATATCACCCACACAAGCTGACGGCAGCCGATTAAGGCGAACCTTGATGCCCTTGACGGAAATAATGTAGAGGTTTTTAGCCCCAGTGTTATCGGCGCAGTTGACCGTCGCTGCCACCGGCAAACCCAGCGACATACGGAACTTGTTCCCGGCCGATCCTCCGTGCCCTCGCTTAGACATTTTGAGCTTGAGAAAATGGGAATAATTTGCCTCAAATTTCCTTGTTCTCTATAAGTACTACTCCCTCCGGCCCTTATTATCCACCTCTCTTAATATGTCACGGTTTTTTTTTAAATGGAAAATGTGTGGTTGAAACTTGTTTTGAAAAACAATGTCAACCACAAAATTCATTCCTTAAAGGAAAAAATTATGCAGGTTTGGGTGAAAAGGAAAGAGTGAAGATAAAAAATGACATGGAGTAGGATTTAATTAGTGAAATTCATTGCGCACACATGCTCCTTCAGTTCAGAGATTAGATAAGAATAACATTACGTTGATGTCACACTAAAACATATTGTTCAAGGGCTTATGTTCCCAACCTGGGGAGGGGTCCATTTGAGTAATAATTGGATGTTCAGCGATCAAAATACAGTTTTAAGCAATATTAAATCATTCAACAGTCAACACATACCTGCAACCGCAGATTCTTCTTTGTGACCAGGAAATAAAGGTACGAGCTCAGACTAAAGCAGAGACAAGATATGTTTATGTCAGCCTTCCTCTGGTTCTGCACAGGTTACAGAAGGAATAAAAAATTAGTATTAATATGCCAACCAGTTATGTCTCACATAGTCACATGCTATCACTCATAGATGAACCAATTGGTTCTGGCCAGTACACAGTGAAGGGATGGATGAAGCTTAAAATTACCTCCAGATAGCATATTGACTTGCTTGAGGTAAAGGACTCTGAGTCAAGTGAAAAAATAGCACGCATCATGGTGAACAGCCCTTGGACGAACCCGTATTCATCACTTTCTTCATATGGCCATATCTAATGAGAAATAGCGCACATATAGTCCAGTGAGGCCACATAGTGATGAAAAAGAAGGGACATATAGGATACCCTGCTCCACTGAAATTCACATTAGCATTTACAATTGAGACTAACCTTGGTAAGTATGCTGACCACTAAATTTATCTGTTCCATTGTCAACTCATCAGCACCAGAAAGATCTTCTCGAAGAATTTGATCAAAGAGTAATGTGTGCCCTCTGATGAAATCAAGAACTTCCCGAACAACTTTATTTGAAACCTATTACATACAAACCATATAACTTAATATTTGATAGCCTAAGCGATTGAAGTGCGAAGGGAAAAGAAGTAAAGGGTTGCTTCCGAAAGAATATATTTTTAAGATCAGTGGAGAAGTTTCAGTTAGAAAAACTCAAAAACTCAATAAAGAATTAGAGGATAAGGAAATAACAAACAGTAGAGAGGATACAAGATCTACCATTCTACTCCCTTCCCTCCATCTCAAAGAAAGGACCATGTTTCAGTAAGGTACAGGTTTAAGCTTTTACAAGTTATTTTGGGGGGGGGGGTCATGTATGTTGCACGCAAACAGAAATACCCTCTGAAAACTTGTGTGCATCATAAAGGGTGACACATACCCCTTAAACTTATTTCCAAGATTGTTTGGAGTAATTGGCAATTTGACAAAAACAGCTGGCCGCTCGGCCTTAAAAAAATTTACTTTAGAATGAGAGTTGACTTTTAGAACCGCATAATTTTTGTGACAATAGAAAGAATCTTGAAACATGATTCCTTACTGGACTGGAAAATTAACATTAGGAATGGAAAATACCATAAAATTAAGATAGTATGCTAACCTCAAAGAACTCAGACGTATCGACCAAGGATGTCAAAGAGAACACCAATCTAAGTACAGGAGCAATCACCATGCGTTGCTTGTCAACATCGACAGACAACTCTGTCCCATATTTGGCCTCAAAGTGGCGGCGGCTTCCCTGACAAAAAAAAATATTAGACTTTGTTAAATTGAACTGATAAGAAGAAAAAATTACCATGCCCACGTATTAAATGTGCGAATAACCTTGATTTGCATTTTTAGTGCTTTACATGTAGAAATACGCTCCAATGCATCCATTGAAAATAGAACTTGTGCCCCTGATTTCCTATATTTATAGCTTATTCTCAACAAGAGAGCGAGTTCTGCTTCAAGAGTGCACACACGCTGCATCGACCCAACAGGAAACCCATCCTGAGAAACACAAGTTAGTATGTCGTAGATACAACTTAAGTAGCGAAACTGAGAAAGCAAGCTGGGCTATGAGCAACTAACATTCCAGGTACACATGATAAAACATTCGAAGGTATCAAACAGAATACAGCTGGTTAAACACCGCAGATCATGGTTTCATTACCAGTTCACTAAATTTTTAAAACTCAGTATACTCCTAGGGCTTCCTAGCTTGATTTTCCATCATTTGTGTGAAAGACATTAGAATATACTTTAGAATATACTTTAGAATATTCTTCTATCCTTAGAATATACTTTAGAATATTTTAGGAATATACTCTAGGATATTATTATTGTATAGAATCTTATAGGAATATTCTATCTTTGTAATCTATATTTATAGGGACTTAACCCTCCAATGAAATACACACTACACAGAAAATCTTTCCTCCTCTCTTCAATATTATATTTTGTAGTTTATATTTCAACATGGTATCAAAGCCTTCCATTTCAATTTAGTTTTCAGATTTCAATTTAGTTTTTCAGATTTCAGTTCAGAATTCAGGCTGGGTTCTTTCTCCAAGAACTTCAGTTAACTTCAGAACCTTACAACCATTCTGCCTACAGAACCTCTGTCCAGACCCTCATTCCAGAACATCAATACACCCTAGAACCAGAACCTTTGTCCAGACCAACACCATCCTAACCAGTTGCACTCGCGGCTTCTGCACGCGCCGTCGATTGAAGCTTCATAACTGGCCGGCCTTTTTGATCGGAAATCTCCATCTAGGTCGCCTGAGTATTCTCTGCCAGGCAAATCCATTCTTCCGATTTGCAAGCTTTTGGATCGCTTCTGGAGGTCGGCGACGCAGATATTTTTGGGAGGGGCTGCGTGTCTACTTTGTCTATTTATTCGTACCAGTTGAGAAGGAAAGAGTTTGAGACTTGGTGAGCTGGCTCGCACTGGGCTGGGACTTTTTAAATCCGATTTGTAAGGTATCTCAAATTTATTTTTGGAGTTGCCGCTGTCAAACTCAACTTGCTGGTATCATTATATATCAACGAGGCCTACATAAAGTCACAAACCCAGACTTTGCCAACCATCTACATATATCAACCATCTTGTTTCATCATCCTCAAAATGGGTCATTGACTCAGGTGCCACAGATCATATGACTGGTAATCCTAGTCTATTCTCATCATTTCACTCACATTTACCTGCTTCCAGTGTCACTTTAGCAGACGGGTCTACCTCACTCGTTCTTGGATCTGGTACTGTTGTACCAACTTCTACATTACCATTATCGTCTGTTTTGAGTCTTCCTAATTTTGCATTTAATCTGCTTTCCATCAGTAAAATCACACGTACTCTTAATTGTTCTGTAACATTTTTTCCGGGATATTGTGTGTTTCAGGATCTGTTAACGAAGCATACTATTGGTCAAGGACATGAGTCGGGTGGTCTTTATATTTTGGATACATCAATTACAAAAGGTATCTCTTGCCTTGGGGTTGGAAATCTATTAGAAGCTCATTACCGATTAGGACATCCATCTCTCTCACTAATGAAGCAATTATATCCTCAGTTTAATAAAGTGTCTTCTATACAATGTGAGTCGTGTGAGTTTGCTAAACATCATCGCACTAGTTTAAGTCCCCGACTTAATAAACGAACAAATGCTCCGTTTGATCTTGTCCATACTGATGTTTGGGGGGCATGTCCAGTTGTGTCCAAACCTGGTTTCAAATATTTTGTCACTTTTGTTGACGATTATTCTCGTATGACATGGGTGTATTTTATGAAGCGCCGATCCGAGTTATTTACTCATTTCTCTGCATTTTGCGCTGAAATTAAAACTCAATTTAATGTTCCTGTTCGTGTGTTAAGGGGAGACAATGCCCAAGAATATTTATCTGCTCCATTTAAATCTTTTATGCTTCAACATGGCATTATTCATCAAACTTCATGCGTAGACACACCTCCTCAAAATGGAGTTGCTGAAAGAAAGAATCGACATCTGTTAGAAACTGCAAGGGCTCTTCTATTCCAAATGAATGTGCCTAAACAGTTTTGGGCTGACGCTGTGTCTACTTCATGTTTTTTGATCAATCGTATGCCATCTTCTGTTTTGGATGGTAAAACTCCTTATCAATGTCTTTTTCCAAATAAAGAACTTTTTCCTATTCCACCTAAAATATTTGGTTGCACTTGTTTTGTTAGAGATGTTAACCCTCATCGGACGAAATTGGACCCCAAGTCATTGAAATGTATTTTCTTGGGTTATTCTCGAGTTCAAAAGGGGTATAGATGTTTTTGTCCAAGTACAGGTCGATATCTTATTTCTATTGATGTCTCATTTCATGAAAATACACCATTTTCATCATCCAAGACAGATATTCATGAGGACAACGATGAAATACTCATTTACACAGTTACTATACCTGAGACCACACCTTCAGTAACTATGTCGAATGTCACTGTTCCTGACCCTAGACCTGCTGTACACTTGGTTTACACCCGTCGACACAAAGCACAAGATCACTCCCCACCTGTGACACCTGTGATTACATATCCTAATACTGGTCCGACTTCGATCTCATGTCCTGAACCAGTACCTGCATCTTCAGATCTTGTCTCTACATCTGATCTTGACCTCCCGATAGCACTACGTAAAGGTACACGGTCTTGTACTCATCCTATTTCCTCATTGTGTCATACAGTCAGTTATCTCCTGCCTCATGTTCTTTTGTTGCTTCCATTGATTCTATTTCTGTACCCAAATCTGTTAAAGAAGCTTTGTCTCATCCTGAATGGCGTCATGCCATGGTAGAGGAAATGAATGCTTTGGATCTTAATGGTACTTGGGATTTGGTATATTTGCCTTCAGGGAAGAAGTCTATTGGATGTAAGTGGGTCTTTGCTGTTAAGGTCAATCCAGATGGATCTGTTGCTCGATTGAAAGCTCGATTGGTTGCAAAGGGTTATGCTCAAACCTATGGTGTTGATTATTCTGACACTTTTTCTCCTGCTGCTAAATTAACATCTGTCAGGTTACTTATCTCACTCGCTGCAACTCATGATTGGCACTTACACCAGTTGGACATTAAAAATGCATTCTTACATGGTGACCTTCAGGAGGAAGTTTATATGGAGCAACCTCCGGGATTTGTTGCTCAGGGGGAGTATGGGAAAGTTTGTCGACTTCGCAAATCTCTTTATGGTCTGAAACAGAGTCCTCGTGCATGGTTTGGGAAATTCAGTCAATCCATTGAACGGTTTGGAATGATAAAAGGTCAATCAGATCACTCTGTCTTTTACAGAAAAACGAAAGCAGGTATCACATTGCTTGTGGTGTATGTCGATGATATTGTGATTACAGGAAGTGATACCGCAGGTATTTTGGCCCTTAAGAATTTTCTTCATAGCCAATTCCAAACAAAAGACCTAGGCTCATTGAAATACTTTCTGGGTATTGAGGTAACACGGAGTAAGAAAGGCATATTTCTATCTCAGCGTAAATATGTACTTGATTTACTAACTGAAACAGGGAAATTGGGAGCAAAGCCAAACACAACTCCCATGGTTCCCAATGTGCAACTCACTTCAGAAGGCATACCATTCGAAGACCCAGAAAGGTACAGAAGATTGGTTGGAAAGTTTAACTATCTCGCAGTCACTCGTCCAGACATTGCTTACTCTGTGAGCGTAGTGAGTCAATATATGTCATCTCCGACAGTTGATCATTGGAATGCAGTAGAGCATATATTATGTTACTTGAAGGGGACACCAGGACGAGGTATTGTTTACCAAAATCATGATCACATGAGAATAGAATGCTTTGCAGATGCTGATTGGGCTGGATCTAAAGATGATAGGAGATCCACATCTGGCTATTGCGTCTTTGTTGGTGGTAATCTCGTCTCTTGGAAAAGTAAGAAGCAAAATGTGGTTTCTCGTTCGAGTGCTGAATCAGAATATCGGGCTATGGCACAATCGGCATGTGAGATAATCTGGATAAACCATTTGCTGAGTGAAATCGGATTGAAGACACCAATGCCTGCTAAACTCTGGTGTGATAACCAAGCTGCTATACACATTGCCAACAACCCAGTGTTTCATGAGAGAACAAAACATATTGAGGTCGATTGTCACTTTGTTCGAGAAAAGATACAACAAGGATTGATCTCTACAGGATATGTGAAGACTGGAGAGCAACTTGGAGATTTGTTCACTAAAGCATTAAATGGAATTCGTGTTGGTTATTTATGTAACAAGTTGGGCATGATAAATATCTATGCTCCAACTTGAGGGGGAGTGTGAAAGACATTAGAATATACTTTAGAATATTCTTCTATCCTTAGAATATACTTTAGAATATTTTAGGAATATACTCTAGGATATTATTATTGTATAGAATCTTATAGGAATATTCTATCTTTGTAATCTATATTTATAGGGACTTAACCCTCCAATGAAATACACAGAAAATCTTTCCTCCTCTCTTCAATATTATATTTTGTAGTTTATATTTCAACAATTTGCAATGGAGACAAAGATTCATTATTTTTTGGCTTGAGAATATGATGGAATAAAGTAAAATGGCTCACAAAACTGTCTACGCTTCTTTGTTATGAAGCTAAAGTCAGTCCATGCAATTTTGGACGCAATTTTCACTATGGGTCATCCGGAAACAGTCTCTCTGTGCTTTAGTACAGGGGTAAGACTGCGTACATCCGATCCCCCTTACCCCACTGTAGGTGGGAGCCTTTGCGGCACTGGGGTAAATGAAAATGATGAGTATACTCCTAGCTTGCTTGAACCTGGGATCCCAAAAGCAGCATAAAACCTTTACTTTCTAAACAGACATACAAGTTATTCCCTTATTTGAGCTATTGCAAATTTGAAAGTACTGAAAATTTACCTCCCAGGGTCTTTGTATAAACAAGTCACACGTAGACATGCATGAGAACCCCCAAGCACTAATTTAGTAATTTGTTAGAATGCATGTCCCTGGGATCTTAAAAGGGACAATACAAGTTTTACTTTCTAGATTCCCCCAAGCACTTATTTGTGCTTACTGCAAATTTGAAAGAGCTAAATTCTACCTTCCGAAGTGTTTCTATAAATGGGTCACACATAGACATGCATGAAAACCCCGAGCAATAATTTGTGCACAACTGAATGGGTGGGTGTGTGGTGACCATATTGTCATGTTTGTGTGTGTGTCAATCAAATGTGATTGCCCAATCAAAATGCTTGTGATTTAAAGTTTTAAACAATTTGATCCCCAAAAATACAATTAACTTGATTCCCAAAAATACAATTAATAGACAATTTCCTCACACCTAATCACTAGTGTAAACAGTGTGACACAATCAGCTGCAAATTGGGGATTAAATGTTTCTTCTTCAAATGGATTGAAATTTGAAAGATGTATTAGTTCCACTTAAAGGAAATCTAGATACATGAGCAAATAGTTACAGTTAAAGTCTTCAAAAACATCAACATGCTTTTGGACATACAGCGAAAGAATAATACCTGATACGAAAAGTTACTGATGCTAATAAGGCAAGACCTGAGGAAGCCTCTGCTTTGAAGTTGGTTCAAAAAAAACTTCTCATGATCATAAGATATAAGGGAATCCAAAACATAAAGCGAAATTGTTTTTGCAGATTCACTTCCATGAGTTGCATCTTTTATGACCTGTGTTTTGATTTAAACTTCTTTAAGACAATAGAAATTACAAGAATGTAGTACTCCCACCGTTCTTTTTTAAGAAATGCTTTATAGATACATTTTCGTTCTCTAATTACCTATAACTGTCACTTTAGGATATCAAGAGAGCATTAAATCACTTTATACCATTACACATCTACATCCATATATGATAATACTACTTTAGAGCATCAATTTGGCTATTCTAGTCCTATTTATGCTACTTATATCATGATTTTAAAAACATTAATGCTTTAGCATGTGACAAAACACCTAAAATTAAAAAAGAATAGAGGGAGTAGTATAAAGTAATAACAATCATATCATAACATTTTGCAAGCTCTGTGTTTCCCCTTTGATACTATTCAATTTGGCAATGTGACATGTCTCTAAGGCATCAACTTCAAGCATTACCACTTCAAGCATGAATGTCATGAACAAAATGCAGGCTAAAATGGAAAAACCACCCACCAAGTCAAGAATTGCTTGAGCTTCCTTCCTTAAAATAGAGAAGTTTGCATGTGATAATTCGGCATGATCTTTGACAATCTGGTTACAGATTGTAAGAAACAAGCTCAAATTCAAATATCATATACACTGTAATTGCTAGTATTATAAAATAAAATAAAAAGTAAGTGGCAGTGGGAAGCTTTTCTGACCTTTTCAAGTTCAGCATCTTCATTATCCTGATCATCCATCGGAAGGAACTGCATGACTGAGGTGGGTATACTAGGATCGAGGATATGCTGACAGTACTGGAAATAGCTAAGAAGCAAAGTGTATTGACTGAAAGAAGGGAAGAAGAAGAAAATAAGGACTTGCTGCTAGAGAATGGAAAACTGATTGTAATCTCAGCATAAGAAAATAGTACCGTCTCCTCAAAGTTTCAGATGATTCTTGTCTCAGAATAGCCATTATCATTTTGAACAAAATAGAGTGGCATGCACCATTTGACAATTGCTTTGCGATCATTATGTCAAGATATGTGATGGTCTCAGATTGTAAGCCGCCAGGGCATAAGAAACACACATCGCGGAGCTTTGCCATGCATGTTAGACCAACCTTAACAATTTTCATATAAAAAATATAAGTGCAGGTAGGCAAAGATATTTTACTCTTTGGTAGCAACCTCTTCAATGAGTTAATAAAAACAGAAGTCATATAACCTGGGTTAAAACAAGTGCCATTTTCAATGAACAGTCAGGAGATCCAGAAGCACCGAGCGAAGCATCTAATAACCTATGGTTTAAATTAGAAGTTTAGAGATGAAATCATTATTAACTTGGGAAAAAAAGCGGAGATGAAACTGCCACTCACTGAAATAATACTTCGGTTTGGCTTTGGAGAGAAGATAATCTTCTAGATGCACAAATCTACATACAAAATATACATAACTCGCAAACACAAGCTGTAATAATGAGGGAAAAGGGAACAAGAGAAAACCAAAATATAAACAACAAAGAGGGAAGACAGATAATATCCGGTTTAGAAATTAAGGCAATGAAGAAAGAGAGATGAAACCTCAACAACATGAGACCAGCCCGTCAGCGTATGAAGCTGAGCAGCTTGTTCTTCAAGATTCTTGTTGTACTTCCATCCCCATCTCAACAATTGTTGTACTGTTTCTCGAATTTCAGTAAGTTCAACTTCAGTGCCAAAGGAGCTTAGCTGGGGATCATGCAAATTATATTTCTAGAAATGGAAACTAGTCAAAACAGATTGCAGCAAGTAGACAACTATTAAAACACAAGTAAATGGACTAAATTGAAATAGGCAAGTAAAGGGAGAGAATTGGCAGAGAAAGCACCTCCCAAAGTTTGTCACGAAATGAAGTAAGGTCAATCAAACGGTCACCACGCTCTGAGTAATAATACAAACCACCTTTCTCAGTAGTGGAAGGATCGCTAAGTATGTCCTCTGCCTATGGAAAAATTTGCATGAAGTGCAATATACGGACTACTACGAAACAGATGAAGAAAAATATAAATGAAGCTAAAAGATTTAGAAAAGTAGCCTACCAGAAAACCATACTTTACACTGGAAACTATCTGGGAAGACTTCAATGAGGTATCAGGAATCTTAAACTGAACAACATCAAGCAACTCCAACACCTGTGGTTGAAAGTCCAGATATAATTGGTCAATGGATCCCACAAAACATGCAGTGAACTGAACAGGACGTGTTGACAAAATAGGATGCCCAAGTAGAACAATAGATTACGACCTCCGTCCCGGCTTAAGCTTCTCATTGAAAAATGCCACGGTTATTTAGACAATAATGAAATAAGGTTATTTGGGTTTATTATTTTTTATATTTGATGATAAAGTTGTCATTTAAGAGTGCTAATTATTTCCGAAAATAGAAATGAGAAGCTTTAGCTGGGACGTCCAAAAGGGGCAAGTGAGAAGCTTTAACTTGGACGGAGGGAGTACTATTTATCACCTTAAATAGGAACATGCACTATGGTATGCATAAAACAGACTTATGAGCTAAAAGGGGCTCAGCAGTAACCTGGGGCACATAAAAGTGAATATATGACATCTTTCTTGATGATTTATTATTTGCAGTGACCATTTTTATAAGGTTTGTGGACAAAAGGATGTAAAAAGAAAGAAAACTGATTAAATCGTTAATTGACGTGAATCAGTTTCTAAATTCCTATTCAACTACAAAGATCATTTCACATAAAAAAACCAAAAGTATAACTTGAAATAATGGTCATTTTTGCCTGAGGACCAGCAAAAGCTGTAAGTGATTCTGTGATAGTGCTCTCAGACAAGAAGGAATAACTTATTTAACACAAAAATGTTAACAAAATACCAGAAGCCCTATGTGATATAAGGCTTTAAGCCAACTGTTATGGTGACCTTTACAAATGAGCATTTAGATGGTTTCGAACAAAACTAAAGCATATTGATTTATAAACCTATCAATTGATGAGCTTGAATTTCCATCTTTAGATACACACGCTTGAATTATAATTATCAATACTCCCTCCGTATTTAAAAGTTCCCTACACTTTCCTTTTTGGGATGTATTTAAAATTTCCCTACACTCTCCCTTTTTGGTAAGTTTTCCTTTAAAAAAACTCAATTACCCTTACTTTTTCTACTTTTATCCTCTCTTTCCTACTTTTTCATCTTCTCTCCTACTTTTTCTATACTATTCATTACCCTTACTATTTCTACCTTAAATCTTGTGCCATAACCAAACGTAGCGATCTTTGAAATACGGAGGGAGTACTAGATCACTAGCCCTAGCAAAAAAGTGTGTGAAACAATGCAACAACCATTACCTTGTTCTTCCTGATCATCCTAGATCCAGAAAAGTCGAGATTGTCTGTGGAAATGTTATCATCAGAGATTCCTTGTCCAAATAGTTCAAATATAATATTTTGACAAGTTTCTAGATGTGTGGAGCTAGACATATCTGCAAAGTGCAACTCTACAGCTAACAGCTTCAACAACCATGCTCTCTGCACAAGAAAGTAAAACCTAATTTGTTTGGAAAGCATTGATAGAACAGACTCGAGAGAGCACAGTGATCTATCCACTTCTGAAAATTGCAACAGAATACACATAAACATTTAACGGACAGACAAGTTTATCATTGAATACTTTCAATTCAAGCTACCGAGCTGGTACAAGTGATGTAGAAACACAAATTCAACATCTCAGACTATAAAGGGGTACGGATGTGGACTGAAAACTAATCATCAATGTAAGAAACCGTTGTCCAAAGATTCCAGGCTGAAATCCAATTTTATTAACGGATAAAACAAGAGTGAAGCCTAATTAGGGGTTTAAATACCCCTCTACTAATTCCAGAATAGAAATCATAATTAACTCCAAATAGGAAACAAAATAATAGAAATCCTAATCAACTCCAAATAGGAAACCAATCAGGAAAATTATAAACGGCCTGTCCCCGCCTGCGGTAAACCAACAGGGGTTTCAGCCTCTCTTCTTCTGGTTCAAGCCACTGGTCCCTATCAGGTCATAACACAATAACTTGCATTTCACAAGATAAAATAGAAGTTTGCTGAAACAAACCTGATGAAGGGAACTGATGCGAAGTGACTGGCTAATACTTCTTTTTGGAAGTGGAGCAACACCAATTGTGTCCAAATGCTGTTACAATAATATTGTAATAGAAAAAATTAACCAATACAAATCACTAAGACGTTTACGCCAAACAATGGTGGAAAATTGAACTAAAGTACAACAAATCAAACAGGAGGTACCTTTATGAAGAATTGATATCTTTTAGTGCTTAACAAATCCATGATCGGACCACAAGTTAACGGATCTACGGACATCTCGTAGAGAAGCTGTTTTAAAGAGCTCATTGGTTAACTCAGAACGGAAGAGGAGTTGCTATAACAATGCCAGAGAACAGATTATAAATTTCTATGGCAAAGCATTTAGCGTCTGCAGATATTTGAATTGCAAAACTAAAATCTGATACCAAAAGATATCTAACCTGAAAACCAAATTCATGAAGCAAAGCATTGGCATCTGGCTTGAAAAGCTTTTCCAGCTGATCAAGAATAACCTTCAAGCAACTACAGAGAAAGTGAAAAGGAGATATTTATGATCTATTGATCTTAGCCTAAGATAATTGGAAGTGGAACAATGGGGGAAATTGGAACCTGTAATGGAATTTAGGCTGAAGCTCAGTCCGCTCAATGGGACTATCAAGATCAAACTTGAGCAACAAGTGTGTGATATTAGGGGCAGGCCTGCTGATATTATCAATAAGAAGCTGCAGGTGGAGGTAACAGAATTAGGAGTAAATGATAAGAAATTGCAAAAATATCGAACACCTCTAATTAGCAGGCAAAGATAAGACATGATAAAACACAATTTCATGGAATCACATTTCCTCGCAACTCAATGACTCATAACCAACTCCAGTCAGTAACTCGATCAAATTAAGTTCATAAGGGGATATATGAAGAATTGATTTTTATGTATGCCATTTAATCTTCTGCTAGTACACTACTAACCGAGTACACACTACTCGACCCAAAACCTTTCCGAGTTGTATACCAGTATCTAGTATTCTAGTTGATCCGATTAGGAAAATGAGTTACTAGACGATTAAGTCAGTCATAGTTAAATGTGAAAGATTGAAATCGGTAATTATGAAACTAAAAAAGAACTAAGGGACATCAACTTAATGAACTACTCCTAAAAAATTGATACTTCATAAATTATAAGCTGTCACTGAAGATGTGTTTGTGGACATGGAGGATGATGAAGATAATGTTAATCTTGAAGAAAATAATGACTAATTTAGGATATAGGAGGTTAGGATAGTTTAGATAATAGGACCTTTTATTGCTGAATGAATCATGCGGGTTATTATGGATTATTGTTTTTTTCTTTATATACTCCATATGTATTGTAATGTTTGCTACAATAGGGTTTGGCACAATGTTAAAGGGAAAAGTAGCAGGGGTAATGAATAATGTAGAAAAAGTAGGATCGATGGTGGAAAAGTATGAATGAGAAGATAAAGGGTAGAAAAAGTAAGGGTAATGATGTTTTTACTTGGACTGTTTTCAGTCCCAGACCAGACTTGGATAGTTATAAAATCAAATACACAGAGCCCATACATTAACCAGATCAGAGTATCAAACCACTTCAGATCAGACTAAACCAGACTAGGCCAGAAAATTTCAGTCGAAGTAAAAATATCCTGATTGAGTTTTTTTTAAGGGAAAACTTACCATAAAGGGAAAGTGTAGAAAAACTAAAAATACATCCCAAAAAGAAAAGTGTAGCAAACAAAAGAATACGGAGGAAGTATTTAATACTTATAAAATTATTATTAGAACACTAACATATATTTTAATAAATTATTGACACATGTAGTCAGACATACTTTCCATCATTTGCAATGGAGCCAAAGACTCACTTTTTTGGCTTGAGAATATGATGGAATAAAGCAAAATGGCTCACAAAACTGTATGCGTTTCATTGTTATGAAGTAGCAATCAGTCCATGCAATTTACGACGTAGCCTCTTTGTGCTTTGGTACAGGGGTAAGAATGGGTAAGACTGCGTATATCTGACCCCCCCTACCCCACTGAAGGTGGGAGCCTTTGCGGCACTGGAGTAATGATGATGATGTAGTCAGACATAATCGCCAATTGCCCTTTGACAGTAGGTACCTAGCAACTATTTGAGTGCTAGGACTTCATCCAAACTTCAAAATGATATCAAATCATACTGTGTCATTTTACAGCTTATAGTCTTTATACTTTAAAACTTTCTATGCTAAACTGCCAGAGCTCAGTAAAACAGGGAATGCAAATTACATAGCCGAAACAATCCTTGCAAAGCTGACTACAGAAATATGCAAGAAAGGAAACAACAAAAGCAAATAAGAAAAAAGCTAGCTAAAATAAAATATAGAGCCCTAACTTCAAAAAATAATCTGATATGAAGTGGGAAGAGCATGGGGCGGGACGGGCTTGAGCCCACCTTCGTGGGCTGGCTGAGAGCAATTTAATTAATTTTAATTATTCCTTTTATTTTGTTTCCTAATTTATTTTGTTTCCTAGTATGATTTAATTAGGACTTCTATTAATTAGAGGTTTCCTATTTCTATTTAGTTTCCTTGAATGGTTTAATTAGGACTCCTATTATGTTTCTTACTAGGATTTAGTTTCCTATTCAGTTTTGGATGTAAGGGTTATATAAACCCCTGCCTAGGCTTATTCAAATCAGGCATTAATAATATTGGTTTTAGCTATTTAGCTCTGGGCAACGGATCCAGCCGTTGATTATTTTGGGCAACGGGTTACCCCGTTGATTTTATTTTCCTGTTCTTATCAATTGGTCCAATCTGCCGGATCCCGTCCCGCCAAGATGACGAGATCTCAGAATGATCGATTGACAGAGCTGGAGAACGAACAAACTCGTATGAGAGAAGAAGTGACCCAGATAAGGGCCGAACAGGCAGAGCATGGTGGCAAGCTGTCGGAGATCATCACCTCACTAGCGGCGTTGACCCAGGCAATGGTCCTGCCGGTCACACCGAAGAAAGCCGCGGATGACGTGGGTCGAATCCCGGCAACCGAGCTGCATGGAGAAGGCGTGTTGAGCAATCCAACTATAACGCTGCTTCCGTCGTTCGATGGGGGAGACCCAATTGGGTGGATCGCTCGGGTAGAGCAACAATTTGAATTACACAACACTTTACCGGAAAAGAAGGTGGCTGCCACAATGGTAGCTATGGAAGGAGGAGCGCTTTACTGGATGACCTGGCTGAGATCGCGCAAGCCTGGGATGACTTGGGCAGATTTCAAGCAAGCCTTGGTGGACAGATTTGATTCTCGATTTCAGGGGAATAAGTATGAACGATTGTCCGGAGTGAGGCAAATTGGGTCTATAGAAGATTACAATATCTTGTTTGTTCAGCTAGCAAGTCAAGTTCTAGGGTTACCCGATGAGCACTATTTAGGATATTACATGAGCGGTCTTAAGGAGATAATCCGAAGCTCGCTGCGATTGCTCTGACCAAACAACCTGGAGATGGCTATGGAATTAGCTCGCGAAGTGGAGTATAATCTGTCCGTCCAAAGTGGAGAAAGTGGCAGCCTGAATTATCATTCATCAGAGGTAAGTTCTAGCATCCTTTTAAGGGCAAACACAGGTTCCCCATTGACTGCCATTGGTGGCAGCTTACAGGGTTCGGAGGGCAGCTTGCGAAAGATAGTGGACAGCCTCGGGGACGAAGTCAGGGTTATCTGGGCAGCCTACGACACGCTCTCAGTTCACTCGACTTCCGCCGAAAGAGTTTGCAGAACTGCGGGCGAAAGGATTATGCTTTAGGTGCAAGAAACCATTTACACCAACACATGACTGTCCCTTTAAGCAGCTGCGAGTAATGATAGCTGAGGAGGATGAAGAGTTGGACCTCAAGCAGCATGAATTCTGTGAAATAACCGGCTAGGAAAAGGTCCCGGAAAGAGAAGAAGGATATTTTCCAGTCTATACTATGTCTGGAAATTTCAGTTCCGGATCTGCGAATTTTCAACCTTGAGGACAAGGTTAATTTGAAGGAGGATGGACTGATATGAAGTGGGAAGAGCCTGGGGCAGGACGGGCTTGAGCCCACCTTCGTGGTCTGGCTGAGAGCAATTTAATTAATTTTAATTATTCCTTTTATTTTGTTTCCTTATTTATTTTGTTTCCTAGTATGATTTAATTAGGACTTCTATTAATTAGAGGTTTCATATTTCTATTTAGTTTTCTTGAATGGTTTAACTAGGGCTCCTATTATGTTTCTTACTAGGATTTAGTTTCCTATTCAGTTTTGGATGTAAGGGTTATATAAACCCCTGCCTAGGCTTATTCAAATCAGGCATTAATAATATTGGTTTTAGCTATTTAGCTCTGGGCAACGGATCCAGCCGTTGATTATTTTGGGCAACGGGTTACCCCGTTGATTTTATTTTCCTGTTCTTATCATAATCTTTCAACATCGGGAAACTAAATACAAATGACTATTAGGAAATTAAAGGCCAAAAAAGTTAGCTTTGGACCAAACCACGACCAAACTTTGTTAGCAGGCATCTCTCTTCTTTGATTCTAGAATCTAGAGGCTTTAAGAGGTCATTGCTCCCTGGATGCATGAATGCATCTGTGCATTATATTATCTTAAACCAAATTGATTGGATATATATTATCACCAGACAACCACAATAAAGATGTTCACAAATTACGAGACAAATTGTTTATCTAGTGCTCAATTTCCTAAATTCTTTTTTTACTATACTCTGTTGAATTTCTTGTGACCAAGAGGTCATGGGTTCAAGTCCTGGGAGCCGTCTCTTGCCAATAATTGGCAAGGGAAGGCTTTCCCCTATTACACCCTTGTGGTGGGACCCTTTCCCGGACACTCGCATTGTGGGGACGCCTTAGTTTTAAAAGGCGCGAGGCGGCATGAGGCGATTCATCGATTTACCCGAGGCGTGAGGCGCAAGGCGACGAGGCGCGCGCCTCACTGAACTAAACCACATATCTTTGGTAAAATATATTTATACAACTTCTACATGAAGCACTTTTCGAAAAAATACTTCTATTAATAGTAAATATATTTACAATAAACTGTTAATACTTATTACTAATCCTAAGCCATTAATAGTAAATTTTAAAATAAACTTGTATATAAAGATTATTAATAACAACAAGCTGTCATATATAATTGACTAATTTTTTAAAATTGATAAAATTCGGATTGGTATTAGGGTTTAGGGAAGATTGTTTTTTTAATAAGCTTAGGGAAGATTTTTATATGGTTATATATTTACATAATTTGAATTATTATTTTTATTTAACAAATAAAAATATAAAGAATAGAAAAACAAGAGGAAGAAAGACAAACAGAACAGAAGAAAGAAACGTACCCAGCCGAACAAAAGAAACAAGAGAACGGAAGAAAAAGAAAAATAAAAACGGCAATGATCTGCGACAGAAAAAGCGGAAGGTTTGAGACTTTGAGTTGATGGAGTGAAGTCTAGGCGAGCAGGATGAATCGCCAAAGGCTTGAAGGAAGGTCAGCGGACATATTCTCCATAAGGCGTGAAAAGCGACGCCTCAAAGAGGTGCAAAAAGCGGCACTAGGCGAGGTAAAAGGCGCGCCTTATGGAATCTGCTGCGCCTGGGATGTTTGGATGCGATGAAGTCATCGCCCAGAGGCGCCTCGCGCCTTTGCGCGCCTCAGGCGCGCTTTTTTAAACCAAGGGGGACGCCATCGTGCACCAGGCTGCCCCTTTTTGTTCAACTTCTCTAGTCCTATGTGTTTCTATGGTCTCCAAATTTGATGGTTCGCTCTCAATGAAAAACCAATGTGTTGCAGGGTTGATCCATAAAAATTAGGTGAACAGAAAATGAGATTGTTCAGAAAGTTCATACTTACTGCTCTATTCATGATTAAAAGAGAGTTATAAATCTGATTAAATAATAAAATATTTAGACATTTGTAAATAGATTCAAGATGAAAAAGTAGAAACATACTTGCAGTATGAGTATACCAGGATCTTCCCTCATATCCTCAATAAATTGGCATTCTTCAGAACGTAACTCTAAGCAAGCAGCATAATCCTCAACCAAGGACCCTGCCAAATTGGATTTCAAGAGCAGTTGAACAAGCCCAGCCATACGAGAACTGTCATTCATAAAAAAACAACCTGGCCATGAAATGTCATTGCACAAGAGAACGTGTAGCGTTAAGAGAAGAAACAAAGCACAGCATAACTATAACAGAAAACAAAAACCTTAGGGCACTCATTATTTTAATGGAGCACTGCTGAATGCGAGGCTTCATATCATATCGGACATACTCCAACAAAGCTAGAACTTGATTATGATCTTGAGAGAGAATGACATCCAAGGGCTAGACAAGAAAGAATAAACAGGAAAACATTAAAATGTCATTCAAAATACATACGGTACAGGCAGCCGGGGGAACCAACGGAAAACTATTCAAAAATATCTTATCCCAGTCGGCAAGTTGTGAGTTAAGAATTTACAAAAGATTTGATCTTAGGAGAAAACATTCACAAGAAAGATCAATCAATGTTTCATTTAGGCATTTAACCTGGTATACAGGGCGCCAGAAATCAGAAACAATCAAATCTTTCTCTAAAACAAGAATTATTATCTCCAGCGAGAGGAGGATAGCCTTTTCAAGAAGTTGCCCGTGACCTTCACTTGTTCTTTCATTTATAAGGATATTAACTCCTGGTGAAAGAATACCCATAACATTCCGAAATGCACTTTTACCACTCATAAAATCCTGCAAATGAAAAAACTTATTCTCATAACTAAGCTGTACTCTAAAAACTGTGTGCAAGGTGTGGTACAAGTGAATAAAATAAACAAACAAACAAATAAATAAATAATATAAAATTCATAGTAATAAATATGGAGTGATGATAGTAATCATGAGAGTGGTAATGACAAAAAAAAAAGAAGAAAAGAAGTTTCTATAGATTGTTATAGAGGCAATACTTTCATCAGTTCTATGACTGGGAGCTGGACTTGAAGTGAAGAGTATTGTCCCGCTTCAGAAAGTCGAGACTGATCAGCAATATTTTCAATATCTCCGTCTTTGAAGTCATACATACTGAGCATCCTGCAATGAAAAAATCGAACACAGAAGTTCAGAAATTCTTAAACGACAGAGCAAGGAAGTTACACCTGGACACCTGGCCCATGTAACTGTAAGGTACTAAAGACCAAAATATATTTAAAAAATTTGTAGGAGTTGTTGTGGACAGATGGCTAACAATTGGAAATGATTGAGGCAAGCAATAACCAGCTGCCATTTCTCAGAAGGATCAGCATACGCTCTCTGGGGAAATGGCCCAAACACCTGATCATAAACGAACTTAAAAATGCCAATGAATCTGCAAGGACGGCACTCAATGTCAGAAAGAGGAAAGGTTGAATGAAAGAACATTTCATTGCCAGACCTCAATACCTGCGCCCTCTATCAGTAACATCCTTCTCCTCGGCAATGAGAGTATTTAACAAATTAATAAATGATATAGTAGATGGGTATTGTTCTCGTCTTGCTTCTATTTCATTGAGCTCAAATTGCATATCATAAACCTGTTTGCACACATGAAAATTGGGGCAGTAAGCATCAACAGAGGAGCAGCAATTGTGAAGAGAGCTGGAAAAATTTAAGCAAAGGCAATACATATGTATCACTTCAATATACTTACGGCACCTATGGATAAACATTCTTGACAATATATCAACCCCCAAAAGGGAAAAGTTGGAAAATATTACCAAGAGAAAAGGCAGAACTTTGTTTAGATGCAAAGGAAATTCAGGAAAGTGACAATACCAATAAATATTTCAGTTCTTAAGCAAATGTTTGAAAAGTTTTGCCACTTTCAATCCTCCGACTATTATGTCAGTGACACTTTTGATACTTGACTTTGAATTTCTCCACTTTCATTCCTTCGACTATTGTGCGAAAGACAATTTTAGTACCCGTCTTTGAAATATTCCATATTAGTCCTTCAACATTCATAAAAGTGACACTTTTAGTCCTCCACTTATTGTACCAAAATCACAGTGGAAAGACTAAAAGTGTCGATTTGACAATACTAAGGGGGCTAAATGTGGGAACTTTGAAGACGAGGACTAAGTGTCTCTCACACAATAGTTCTTTTTTCTTTATTTTCACATTATTAAATTCATTTCCAAGATGAGGTAGAAAAATACGCCTCAAAACTAGAAACTCATACTCTAAATCTTGAACCAATATCATCTACTGATTACTTTAGGATACTTCCTGTATTTTGTACTTTCTTAACATATTATCTATTACTATTAGACTATTCCATGAGTCTTCTATGAGTCTACCACAATAGTTGAAGGACTAAAAATGGAAAAATTAAAAGTCGAGTACCAAAAGCGTCACTGACACAATAGTCGGGGGGGCTAAAAGTGGCAAAAACTCATGTTTGTAGAACATGATAGTTAATCCAAAAATACCAATTTTATCGCGTTATGTAAGATAAAGTAACATTAAACAAAGAACCTGAGTTGCCATGGGTTGCCCGGTGTTCCCAGCATGATGTCCAACCACCACTGGTAAATCGTACTGCTCTAAATATCTCCATACTGTATCTTTCATAACTGGAGAAACTTTAACAAAAGTAGCAATTGTATTTCGCAGAGCACCCTGCCCCATACAGATGCACATGAGATAATGTACAATAGCTAGCATGGCAGGATAAGCAGCCGTAATGGATCAAAGTCATTAATTCAGATGAAAAACAGAGATACTCAAAAGTCCAAACCTTAAGATATGGAGGAACATTTTCATATCCAAGTAATTTGAATAATGGCTCAATATCAGCAAACCAATTCTTCCTTTCAATGGGATTTGCATTTTCAACAACCTGCAACATAACAGAGTTTCATACTATTATTACCTAATACCTTTAGAAAGTAAGACAAAATTGTAAGAACAAAACTATAACAGTTCATAAAACTAGTCACCTTTTGCAGAACATTCAAATATGCAACAAGAGCTTTGGCATCTCCTTCCTGTATCTCCGGTAACATTGCACCGGCACTCTGGATGGCTTGTTTGAACTTCTCTTCATAAATTGATAAACAACTGAAGAGAGTACTCCACCCAATAGAACGGAATGTCTTTCCTTGAAGCAACTCAAAAACTTTGGAAGAGCCCTCAGCAGTAGAAGCCTAGTTTAAGGAAGCATGCTTTTTAGAGTGTATCAATATTTTATTCACAGACCATACGACTATCGGAGTACTGGAGTTTTAAAAAAGGGAAATTTTTATTACCAATGTGCTCAGCATATTCAGAAATGCAACCAGGGTTTGAAAATTAGTATGGTCCTCTCCAGCAAAATTGACAAAAGTCCATAAAACATCATTGCCAGACAGCAGGTCAGGTTCCCTCTAGTGAAAAGGCAAACACATTTAATATATATGTGTATATATGTGTGTGTGTGTGTGTGTGTGTATATATATATATATATATATATATATATATATATATGCACGCAGACATAATAGAAGTATGAAAATTGAAAAGGCCTGGGAAATAAGACAGGTATGAAAAGAGAATGTTTTCATATATCCAAATTTTGTCATGGTTCATGAATTGATTCCCTGAGAGCATAAAAGATTGTCCCTAAAGATAAAAGAGCCTAATTATGTTATATACACATTAACACAATCAAATGACATAACACACATTAAGTACAAGGAATTTTGTAGAAGTGTTGCTAAACGGAAAAGTAATGCAGTAACCCTCAAGCAAGCTCCACATACTGGCATACTGCATGTTATTATAAGACCAATTTTTCTACTGCACTTTAGGGTATACTGAATGAGAGGAAAATTGAAACTTATGCCACATATAGTTGATATGTAACTACACAAAAAGTCAGTTTCGCATGAAACACTCCAAAGAACTAATAAGAAGCAGGTAGTAGCCAACTGACTCCAATCATCTACACTAATCTCTTATAGGTGTTGAAAAAGGACCAATCTCTTATCATGTCAGCATCTACATTTAAGACATAAAAGGATAATGTACAGTCGGTAGAATTTGTTTGCCGAACTTTAGTGCTTTCTAGAATTTGTTTGCCGAACTTTATTTTGGAAGGTTTTAACTCTATTATTATTGTACTTGTTGCGTTTCAATACTCTGTCCTTACAAATCATGCGTACTTATCCGTGGATTGGGGACTAGTTTTGTCTGCCTTTAATATAGAAAACAAAACAAGAAAAGGGATAATGTATAGTCGGTTATTAGAGCTAACTTTACAACTCAAATAGCTTTTATCACCAGATCAAATCATCACTTCATACATACCAAACTCAAAATACAAGATTCGTAAAGCACAAACTGATTCTTTACCTACAGAGTGGTTACGCATTCATTTTCAATTTGACACATAGCCAAATAAACAAAGAATATGTTTTCTATCATGAAGTCACCCAAACCCCACCCAATTTTTTACAAGGGAGAAATAACATTAAACTTCTAGAGATGCACTAACCTGATAAATTTCACTAACAAACTCCAAAAGAGAAACAAAAGTGTGTGGTGCTGAATTAGCCTTTTGAGTTTGCATGCTTCTATCATAGTCATGAGTACTGGTCACGCGATATGGACTGAGTTCTGTCATGGCCTTGTCTTTTGCTTCTTTCACCTTTCAAATGACAGTGAGCATTGTAAAATAACATATGGAAAGCCAAAAGAAAAAATATGTGAATTTATGTTATTACTATGAAAGAAGCATTGAAAGCTAATCCTGAATCACTACAAAAATTTATTTTAAAAAAAACTTCATTAGGGAGCAGTATGCAAACTTGTGAATATTCCAAAGAAGAAAATCAAATATGCTCCAGTCTAGGCTGATATGAAAATGTGCAAACCTTATCTCGGCCAAGAGGATGAGACAGAAAGCAAGTCATCATCTTGTGCAAATAGGCATGATACATGTAAATCATGTCCTCATCATCATTCTAAGCACATAAAAGAGAATAACTAGAGTTAGTTTATCACTTTAGCTTGAGCAAAAATGCAACTGATTGTGAAGTCAAGTAACGTGCAAGTGCACAATGAATGGTAGAGAAACGGATAAACTGCACAAAGCTCACTGGTTGGACATATATATAATTTCGATTCGATGTCATGCCTAGTTGTATTGGGTCTGAAGAAGTTAAAAGATGGCATAGGTAGCTGGAGAAAATTGCACTGACATCACCTAAGTCCAAAGCGGCACTAAATGTAAAAACTCAAAAGCCATGATGGAATATGTAATGTACATGATGTTAATTCAAATACAAACTTCAAAAAGAATACAATTGTCAATGGGGGCCTGTTTGGTAAGGGTGAATTTTACTAAATTACTGAAACCAATATATTTTCATGAGTAAAGATTTCATAATCCATCATAAGCAACACTAACCTCAAAAGCAGGGGTTTGAAGAATGTTAGTCATCCAGAACTGGAAAACATTGTCAGACATTATGACTTCCAAACATGTGATAATATGTCGTGTGTCAAGAGATGAAACACTAAGCCCTGTGTCCTGAGCATCAAGTCCGTCGTGAGTTAACATTAAGTGAACAAGCCAAGCATGCCTTACACAATTGATATAGCCTTTAACAACAGGATCTTCCACGGTAACCATTACCTAAAGGAGAAGTCGAAGGTTCTAAACTTTCAATTCATTATATTAGTGATGATTAGATATTTGAAGGTGTTAGGTCTACTTACAGTTTCCTGGAATTCATTCCTGAAAGAAATGTCTCGGGTCAAGATAGATGCTTTATCTAGAACTGAACTCAATGCATCTGATACTAAAGAGATCACGAGAGAGAAAAGGAGGCCATGTGTTATCTGCAAATTTGAGTGAGTCAAATAGAAATCCACATAAGCACAATAAAAGTGCTCATTCGACCATATATCCCACATTAGCAAGTGAATGGAGAATTTGATCTACTAACACAGCAGCGGGTATATTCTTGACAGTTAAGACCAAAAAGGTCAATTTCTGGGTACAAGCTTACCACCAAAAACTATTGGATGAAACATAGGGCTGCTTTGTACAACATGTCTATAGGAAAAAAATAGTTTTTTAAAAAAAATGCATACTCCTTAGTCCTTATGCCCTAAATTATCTGCAATTTTCCCTTTTTTTTCAAATCCCCAAAATATTGCTCATTTCCTTTAAAAGAAAGCAATATGTGGTTCAGACTTCAGAGTATTACTCTCTCTTCTGAGTAAATCTCAACCATGCAGTTTGTCACTTTCTTATACTTTGTGCCCAATCAAATTGGTCAGGAGAGTGGGGTATATGTAAATTACAACACATGAGAAGGAAGAAGATGAACCCTAAATAAGCTAACTACCCAAATCACAGAAAAAATGTAAATTCAAGCTATTAACTCGTTGCTCAATTCCAGCAACAAATCAAAGTTCCTATATTAACATCAAAGCCAACTAAACAATACCCAATGCTCTTACTACTGAGTGCAATCACTAAACCTAACTTTGAGTTGAAATAAAAAATCACAAGCAAAACCTGATGTTTTAATGTATCAGTGTTACAACTAAGATCAACTGCACTGTCTTTCAGAGCACTGAGGATGTCTTTTATATCTGTAGGACCTGCAAACATTACAAGTAAATGAAAATTTATCAATTGTTGTGTTAACATAACATATAGAAATATAGAATAGACCATTAGAAATTTAGAACTGATGGATAATTACAGTGTGAGCATGCATCATAATGAATTTAGAAGCTTGAAGAGATGGTAATGGAAAGAAACAGGAAAATAACAAATGGCAACCAAGGCAATAAATTTAAATTGGCATATGATCAAGCACTATTAGTCAACTAAATAAAAAAAACATTGTAATGAACAAAAACTAGCACATCAAATCATCAAAACAGGAAACAAATTCAGAATCGTGTAAGGTTTGATAAGAGAATAAGTAGTAGGAGTTAATATCATTTTCGGTCTTTTCATCATTCAACTACCCCGTTTAAGTTCACAACTTCAATATCAAGTTTCTTGTGTGCCTCACATTTTAAAAACATGACACTTTAATCTTAATAACTACAGGTGACAAATTTTAGGATTGAAGATGACATAATTTCAATGCTCGGGTAACAAATTGGTTCTATTTTGAGCTCAATGGACAAAAGTAAAAAACGATAGCCAGGTGACCATGCCAAAACTGGAACTAACCCAGAAAAAAATACAGTATGCAAACATCAACTGCAGTGCATCATGTGATAGGGACTCAGCAACAAATAAGCAAGAATTTCTACACTAGGCCTGTATAATAAGACTGAGGAAACAAGTACTTTTAGTATTTCATCATTTTGCCGTCATAGAAAATATCATGCAAAGATCTTTTTGCAAGATCATAAAGTGAATTATCATCCAGAAACTCTAATATAAAGCATATTGCTTAACTGTGTAAATTTGAAGCATGAACCAATCCCATGATAAGACGTGCAAAGGGAAGAAGCTTAAAATAAAATCATAATACATTTTCCATCATTCGCACAATCAAAATATATTAATATACAGAACATAAATATATGTGCATACTTGCATAGAGAGAGAGAGAGAGAGAGAGAGAGAAACTTCTTGTACAACATCTTTGAATAGAGATTAGTCCTGTTTTGCTTACTTGCCCGTACAATCAAAACAGAAAGGACCAGGCAATGAGTAAGAATGAGCCTTTCCCTAGCAACTACAGCTTTCCGTTCCACTAAAGCACCTCTTGAGTCAAGAACATAGAGATCACAGTTTGGCCCACCCAAACCAGCCGGTTCTTCTCGATTAAGCTCCTAAAATGTAACAAAACAGTTTCCAGTATGAAACTAGCACCTTTTGTTAAACAACAAAAGCAACAAATAAACAAAAAACTTATGATGTATCTATGTGTTGAACTACTGACCACATATTATAGTGATCATGATGTGATTGGATATTTATCAATGATTTGAAAATCATTGAATGAAAAAGCTACACAATGAAAAGTATGCTAAAACAGAGATTTTTTTGCCTATGATGACTTATTTTTGTTCCGTTTATAAGATACTTATACGAACATAATAGAAACATTTGTGTTCTCTAACACTTTACAGAATCTAAACTTTGATGGAATTCCTAGATGAATCAAATATTCAAATGCTCCTGCAAATTTCACTGCCATTTGAATGTGGGACCTGAAATTACTTGGCCACTTTATGGCCAACATAGGACTTAAAATGCATTCCAGTTAGTGGAAGGACCTTAATCAGTGTAATCAGCCGCTGTCTAACACCTCCGTTAATGAGATCCTCCAAGTATCTATGTAGATCTGCTACAAGATCAGCATCGACTCCTTGATCAAGGACAACACCCTACATAAATCAAGACATCAGTGCAGAAACAACTAGAAACAGCGTTATCAAACAAATAAACATGAATATGTGATATAATGTATAATACCCTTAATAGTGTGTAAAGAGCTGTTATGAGATCTCTTCTCTCAGTATACCAAAGGCCCGCAGCAAGGCGCAGAATTTCTAAAGGATCTCGTCCCAGTAATCCCCACTGCAAAGTTTAACAGTTTACATATGTCAAGACAAAAAATGTTCTTTTTTTTCAGATATCATTCCTGTAAACAAGTAACCAAAGGCATTCTCACCTACGAGTTCTATAAGCTCTGCCAGAGTGATAAAAATGGATTAACGCGATGAAAATAAAATTATTATTTTACTTGAGTAATGTAAAACCTGATTTTTGAATATTAATGGGGGAGAAAGCAAATAACTTACCTCTTGATTAGCAGAAATAAGTAATCTCACGCAATCTACCTCGTTAAGATGGAGATCATCGCTCAACTTTAAAGCCTAGAATACAACATTACACATAAATTTAGATCAAAAACTAGACCAAACAAATGCCAAGTAAGACAATACACACCAAGTAGTATCCAAGAAACTGTTGCCACATATATTACAAAGTTACAAATCATAAAGAATGTGATGAAACAGAAATCATAACATAGTTGTAGAAGACATGTGTCATGTTTCAAGAGACAGTTACGATAAACTGCCACAACAGTAAAACAAACTGTGCTGTGTGCATTAAGATGGATAGCATAGCACACTTTTATATGATATAAAAGGCAGCGAGTAATTGAAAAGGAAGAATTCATGACTTCGTTGGGAAGGTGGCCAGAGAAGCATCAAGCATGATCCCAATTTAGTCTTGACATATCAAATGTGAAAGTGTAAAACATATATTATGAGCACAACATGATAGTCTATGAATTATATGTATATGTAATCAGGTGTGAGCTTCACTCAAATTTCCATGTATCATGACACATATTCAAACACAATTCTTTAGGAAGACGAAATGGAAAATTTTGCGTCCAACTCACTATCTGAACATCCTGGTCATCCAGTGATATCCGCCCTGAATCCGAAAGCCTGACTTCTTTTGACTGTACTTGAGCTCTGTCTGAGGGCTTTGGAGGCTGTGTGTTCAGAGAAATACAAATTATTGTTATTCAACAATCATAGATTTCACTAAATGGCAATATTGCTATAACAAAAAATGCAACTCAAGGTATTCCTATTATGAGTACATAAACTACAACATCTTTAACTAAACAAATACAACATTCTTGAAGAGAAATTAGCAAACTAAAGATCTCCATCAGCATAAAAATGAAAGAAGAAATACACTTCAAACTAGCTAATAAAGTTAATGAGCTACCAATCCTATTGAAATCAATAATTTTTACCGCATAAATGCTATCAATATTAAAATGTGAGATGAACTAACACATCACTCGAACTCAAATTCGTGTGTCTTACCAAAACGAACACTTCTTTATCAATAATTCTTAAAAAAACGAGCAAACAACACAATACCGGGTAGGAGAGGAGCGAACGGAGGGAAGACATGGAGTGTCGGACGGCGTGAAGCAGCTCCACCCTCTGAGACGGCGGAGCCGGAGTGGGGCCCAGCAGAGAGGACTCTATTAAAGAGAGTAGGAGCTTCGGTGACACCATCACTCCTGAGTCTTTGCCAATTGGATTGGAGCTCTAGGCAGGAGAATGCCTTAACGGAGAACGGGGCGCTGCAATTTGAATGATCCGATGGAGGGAAAAGCCCTAGCGGAGAGGGGTTTTAGAGCAGCTGTGCTAAAGCTCAGGCGGAGCCGCGCAGCCAACTCCCAAATCTTTAACCGCACAGAAAAGGTTTATTTTCAACAATTATGCTCTTTGTACACACAATTGCACCCACCCTATACACACTATAAAAGCCCCAAAAAAAATTACCCCCACTTTTCCCCTCCTCCCCTTTTCCCCTCACCTCACTCGCGTAACTCCCTCGCTCCCCCCCCTTCTTGAAAATCAAAACACCCGCCCCTCCTCTCTTCTTCCTTCGACGATCATAAGCACCAAAAGCAAATATAATTTCTGGATTTTACTTCCTCCACCATGGATTTTTACATGGATGAGAGCATGGTGAGAAACGACCCTGAGTTTTGGGCTTTGTTGAATGCTGTTCCCGGAGGTGGAGAAGCAGGACACGCCGGCGGAGCTGGAGAAACCGACGGACAGACGGCCGAATTAATTGAAGGTGACGACATGACTTGCGGAGGCGGAGAAGGCTCTGGACAGAAGGCCGGAGGTGGAGAAGTTGATGGACACAGTGGCGGAGGTGGAGAAGGTGACGTTGAGACGCACCTGGGCGGAGAGGATGAAGGACAGACGTCGCCGGCGGCTATGGACGTTGTTTCTGACCTCGGTAGGACTTCATCTCATGTTTGTAGTAGTTTAATGAAGATTAAAATAGCTTTCTCCTCACAGACATGTTCTTATGTGTTTATGTGTTTAATTGTTTGTGTACCTAAATAGTGGTGGATACATAATGTGTCTGTGTACCCCTAAGTTGGTATGAACTGATGCATATGTTTCTTCAAAAATCATACATCATGTGAAACTTTTGAATTGTCTGTGCTTACCCCTTAGTAGTATTCAACGTGTCTGTGAAGCTTTAGAATTGTCTGTGTCTGTGCATATATCACTGTCTGTGTACTAAATTGTTTTAAACGCATGCAAACGTTTGGTGACACATGCAAGTTGTAGGAGGTGTCACTTGTTTATGTGTGTGTTTGTTTTTGTATGTAGACAGTGGAAGACTTGTTTGCTTGTGTAGTATTCAACATGTATGTTAAAGTTTGGAATTGTCTGTGTGTGCATATATCACTGTCTGTGTGTAAGTTTAAGTGTGTTCAAATGCATCAATAAATGAGCAATTTACCATAACAGATGGAGAAGGGATGGCAAAGGAGAGTGAACTTGGTACAGAGCCGGAAGTTGGTATGGAGTTTGAAAGCAGAGAAGCGATCTATGATTTTTACAAAGCATATGGGAAGCGTTTGGGATTTCCTATAAGAACTAGGAGCACAACAAAAGACAAAAGAGGAAGAGAGATTGTGTCAGTTGTACTGGAGTGTTCGCGGGCTGGTCATAGAGGTAGTCAGTCAAAAAATCAATTGAAGCCCCAACCTTCAATGCAAATAGGGTGTGGAGCTAGACTACGTGCGCACGTTATTTATTCGGGACTTTGGCAAATTTCAAAAGTGTGTCTACAACATTCACATCCTATGAGTCCAACAAAGGCCAGACTATTCCGGTGCCATAGGAGGATGACTCATGGAATGGCGAGGAAACTTGCCATAAATGAAGCTGCGGGAATACGACTTAATAAAAGCTTCACCGCGGCCGTTGTTGAAGCCGGCGGATATGATCAACTTCCCTTCATTGAAAAAGATTGTAGGAACTATATAGATAAAGTGAGACAACTTAGGCTAGGTAGTGGCGATGCAATTGCCATTCAAGGTTTCTTTGCTAAAATGCAAGACCAATGTCCCGGATTTTTCTTTGTAATTGACTTAGATGAGGAGTCAAGATTGCGTAATGTATTTTGGGCCGATAATAGGTCTAGATATGCGTACAAAGAGTTTGGAGATGTCATAACATTTGACACGACCTATCTTACGAATAGGTATGACATGCCTTTTGCACCATTTGTCGGGGTAAATCATCACGGGCAATCATTGCTAATGGGATGTGGATTAGTCTCTAACGAAGATACACAAACCTTTGTGTGGTTGTTTAAAGCATGGCTTGAATGTATGGATGGAATTGCTCCAATGGGGATTATTACCGACCAAGACCGTGCTATGCAAAATGCCATTGCAATTGTATTCCCAAATTCCAAGCACCGATGGTGTTTATGGCACATAATGAAAAAGGTACCCGAAAAACTCGGAGGGGATGCACACAAAGATGAAATATTGAATGTTATACATGACTGCATTTATGATTCACAATACACCCAAGAGTTTGAGGAGAAATGGTTTGACATGGTTCAAAGGTATGATGAATTTGTAAGTTTTTTTCTTCTTCTAACAGTAACTATTTCTCTGCCTCATAGACAGGTGTATTTATCATAGACGATAAAGTTTGTACGTCACGGACACAATGTGTTTGTGGGCAGAGAATAAGTTGTTTGTGATTTATTTACAAACTGACTTTGTGCACTTTAAATGTGTTCAGGTTTGCACTTGAAGAGCATGATTGGCTTCGGGTGATGTACAATGAAAGAACGCGGTGGGTACCATGTTATTTAAAGCCAACATTTTGGGCCGGCATGTCCACAACTCAACGAAGTGAGAGCATCAACGCTTTTTTCGATAAGTTTGTCAATTCCAAAACCACTCTAAAACAATTTGTTGAACAATACGGATGTGCTTTGCGTGATAAGGTGGAAAAAGAATTTCAAGCGGATACTAGCTCATTTACCAAAATGATTCCATGTGTGACTAGATATCCAATGGAAAAACAAGTGCAACAAATTTACACCCTTTCTAAGTTCGCGGAGTTTCAAAGGGAATTACTTGAAGGAAAGCTTTATTGTGATATCCTTTTATGTGAAGACGGTAGAAAATATACCGTGCAAGAGCATATGGATATTAATGGATTTAGGAAGATTGTGAACTTCCATATTGACTTTGACCCAAATACTAGTTTTGGAATATGTAGTTGTCATTTGTTTGAGTTTAGGGGCATGATATGTAGACACTTGCTTGTGATCTTTGTTCGGCTTGATATACATCACTTGCCCGAGGTGTACCTAATGAGTAGATGGAGGAAAGGCATGAAAAGGGCGTACCAACGAGTTAAAATAAATTATGACGGGTGGATTACAACGGTTGAACAACAACGTTTTGACAAGTTATGTAAGACCTTTGAGTCTCTTGCCAACATGGTTGCGGATGATGAGGCGAAATACAATGAAGTCCTCCTTTGGTTGGAAACCCAGTTGACCACATATACTCCTCCAGTTAGCCATTCTTGTATTGTTGGCAACATGACGCCACTTGAAGACCCAACAACAAATATTCGTTCCGAGGTCCCACTTCCACCTATTGGAGATCCAAAATGTACGAAGCGAAAGGGAGCCCCAAGGAAAAACCGGGCCAAGGGTCCATTAGAAAAGGGGAAGAAGAAAGGAAGGGCTAAGAAGGATAATGCACCAGCCACAACCACAACAATCCAACATGGTAATGGTGAAGGCCCTAGTAATACTGCAACTAATGTGCCAAGGCTGTACTCTAATGGTTTAGATTTAAATTTATCTTTGGTGTGAATACATGTACTATGATGTATTGGTTTTTGTTGTATCATCAATCACACTGTTTTTAGTCACAGACAATATTATGTCCTCATAGTCAGATCGGTGTTCAGCCACAAACAAGAAAATTGACTCATAGACACAAACATAAGGTTGTAAAGAAGCACATATGAACATTATGTTTTATGAACTATAAGCTTTAATTGAACAAGTTTTTAACTGACTTTGATATTCAAATTATTCAAGACTACTTAATTTAGTAAAGTACTATGCTATATTGAACAAAATCTATAATTGCAAAAAATTAATAAATGTGCATTACCCCAGCGGGCAATGTATATAAATAATATAATATACTCACATACACATGCATTTAGAAACACTTGAGACTTCATAACCCGTAATCCATACCGAAATGCTATAAATCAAGAAAAAACCATCAGTCATTTTGTTCGAATGTTACACGATTCATTTGAACCCTCTTGGGAATAACCTTGTAGGATACTGTACAAGGTTGATTACAGTACAACAGTGTACATTATCATACATTTCTTTCCAAAAGCTTACCAAAATATACAAAACAGGTATTTAATGTTTGTTACATGGGAACCGTCATCATCATGGCCGTACCAATGTTTTTACATGAGCAAAAAATTATACATTTGGATGTGAGCAAAAAATAGAAAAGTGCATGTATCTAAGAAACTGTCTTCCTCAAATTCCAAAGTCGCAGGGCAAAGTGCCATCTCTTTCTGGCCACGTTCGCATACTCGCAATGTGGGCTCAAGGGTAGTCCCAACATCAGTGCCTCCGTATAAGAAATTACCATGAGTCCACAAACAGTTCTGCAACACAGACATAAAAAACAATTATGAAGTACTCGCAGACAAAATTGTACACAACACATAAACAATTATTAAGTGATCACAGACAAAAATGTACACAACACATAAACAAGTTCTTGTTCAACACATACCCTCCCTCCTGTTGCGGTACATCTGCCACTGCCTCAGAATTCCATTGCTTTGCCTCACGCACATCTGGGTGGACTTGTATGACTCGGAAGAGGAGCGGAAGTCTCACGCATAACTTTGAGGCATGCAACCTTGACCTACTTGTTTTCATTGAGTCATACACACGCACCACTTTTGATTGAAGGTCAATTTCCGCTAAAACCCAATGCATACCTACAACATTTAGCGGTACGAACACCTGAACACAATAACAAATAAATAATACATTTGCAGTCAGTTTGTTACTCTAATAAAAGCAAGAAAATAATGAAATTTGACTCATGAAATAAATACACAGACAATTAAATGAAGACTTTAAGCACTTACTTTTTCCAACCCTCTCCAGTCAACACTTGGTAGACACCTATCAGCAAACCAAACATCCTCATCCTTATCATCCTTACTCAAGACTTGATGCTACACGAACATAACGTTTTAATTACATAAACAATTATGTAATTAATGATTTACGAACAAATCATTAATTATTAAGTAAGTTCGGTTAAAATAAACAACACATACCGTAAAGTAAGGATTCATTAGCTTATACGGCTTCTCCGACTTACAATCTTTTAGAACCAGGTACGAAAGAGCATCCATATGCTAATAAATAATAAAGTCAAACATATATATTGATGACAAAACTTTAGAAAGTTGTGGAATAGATAAGGCACTCACATAGGACCATAATGTCTCGTCTGGTTCAACAAGCTTACGGAAAAAGTCCCTGTCCACTTCATCACATGATGGCAGATTCAGAACAACCGTTGACGGTTCAACATTGTCAGCTTCTTCTATCCAAGCCTTCAGAGATGCAATATCTGCAACAGTTGGGTGAAACAGAGCAGGCAGAATTGAGACAATCGGTTCAACATATGGTGAGCATTGGTACTTTGAACGAGACCGTTTTCTCTTTTTCACTTCTTTCCCGCTCAAAAGTTCAACATCGTCAACATCTACCGGTGCACTACCAACATCGTGTCCATCCCATTCCAAATTTTCAAATGGAGCGGGCGCTGTTAATGTAGGTAGGTTGTCGTCCTCCACCTGCATACATTCCCATTACACACAGGCATATTTTAGTACACACAGACAAAGATTTATATGCACACCAACATTTATTTGAACACATAAACAATACAGTCTTCATACTTAGTTCACATATCATTAAGGCAACCTGAGTTCACAACCCATGCAATTAAATGTTTTTTCCAGAATCTAATTTCACAACACATAACATACTCAGTTAACTTACATCATGCCAACATTGACATTAATACACACACAATACAAACTCCAAAACACATATTTACCTCGTTTAAGCACATCATTAGATCTGGGAAGGTGTTTCCTTCCTTATTCTGCTCACTTTCCCAATTCACCTATTACATAAAGAAGCACTTCATTTCTCATTCCCAAAAAATAACAACATAGATACATAAAAAAATATACCTCATTCACCACACTCGAGATGATGATATCTGGCCGTGTGCAACCTTCCCTATCACCAGCTTCTTCATTTACAACCGCGGTGTTCATCGGCACTGGTTCAGGGGCATCGTTTGGTTCCTCCGAGGACAGTTTCTCTTCACTGTCAACCTGACCGTCAACCTGACCGGCATAATTCTTAATCACAGCACCATCTTCACCCTCAGCAGTTTGTACTATCTTCTCAGCCACACCCTCAGCCGCACCTTCATCCTGATGAACCACTTCATCATCATTAACCTTATGAACCTACAATACAAGTAGTTGAATTTGTTAGTCACCAAGGTAATGAAAGTGGCCAGTGAATGACACACGGAAGTAAGTTAGAACATACCTCTTGGTCAACTGATGGATTCTGATTGTTAATCAACTTCAAGAGTAGCACCTTTATTTCTGAAATACTATCCTCAACACCAGTAATCTTCTTCTCCACCCTTTCGACACACAGCCGTAGGTCCCGCATCTCTTTCAATATTTTTTGTTTTTCAAAAATGCGAACGTCTTCCTGGATTCTTTCATCTTCTTCCTCTCCCTCCTCTGAATCATCAACCTTCACCTCCTACGAAAAAAGTATTACTCAAATTACGGCTATTTGAAATTAAGTTAATGAATGAGACACACGTACCTCTGGCAAGACCAGTCGTCTAAGCTTTGAGTAATGAAATTTGCGTGCAGCAGTCCAATTTAGCAAAGGCACTTCATGATTAGCCACTTTCTTTGCAAAGTTGTTACCAACTTCAGGAATTTCTTCATAAGCCCACACCTATAGAAATAAGAATAAACACAACCTAAATGTATATATATAGTTATATATATGCAACTAAATGTATATATATAGTTATAGTTTAAATTTAAGAATAACTATGTGGAAAACCGTACATATATACCAAATAAGAATAAACACAAACTAAATGTCAAATATAACTATGTTTAAATTTAACATGTAATTAATATCCATAGTTATTCAATCCATAGTAATATATATTTATCTCCTATATATAAATAAATAAATAAATAAATAAGTAGAATAGGGAAGTTGTCATATATACCTGCAAAACTAGTGGAAAACCGTATAATGATAACTTTGCATTCTTATATTTAGGATTGCCCTGCTTTTTGTCCTTGAACTTCTGAGGTTGGTCATGCATCAGGTCCTTCATATGCTTCACTAATATCTTGTATGAACGAAGTGACCACGGACACTTCTTGAACTCCTCTAAATCATTCACCAGTCTGATTGATGAAGCATTTATCCTCGTAGTGTTGTCCTTTGCTAGCAAAACGCACTCAATGTAGTACAACGAGGCCAACTTCACAGCATCCATCGAATCAGCACGTGTGGAAAACCTCAGTTTCTTAAATCTATTCTTCAAAGTGACGTGAGTAATGTCAACTTTGCCACCAAAATATTTCTGAGCAAGGGCCCCTACTGGTTCAGCTTCTTCAGCAGATTCGTGTCCTGAATCATGTCCAACATCCTGTTCAGAATCTTCATCCCCAGCTGCCTCAGGTTCTGGTTCAACACCGTTTGGTAATCCACTTATGTAGCAAAAGTCCACATAAGTAAACTTATACAGTGTATCCCCAATGGCAAACCAGAGCTCATCATCCGGTTGCTCCTTCACTAGGTGTAAGGCCAACATGTGCAATATTTGCCCAGAATTGTCTGTCTCTGGGATGTCAATCAGATGCCCCCATGGTAAATCCCTAAACACTTCCCTTTGTCTTTCAGTTAACCTCTTTTTTACCCAGTCCGCTGCATTCCTAAAGTCTGAACACACAGAGTACTGCGCGGGGAAATAGTCGTGACTCGGAATGCGTAACTTTAGCGGACTGCCAGTTGGACAAACAGAAATGTCAAACATAAAATAACACCCCACATAAAACTTACACCAGCACACACATAACTTATAAACATAGACAAAGGAACTACGCTGTAATAGACACAATTTCATTCACAGACAATTACTAACACTCCAAATGAACCACACCACTACACAGGCAACTTATGAACTCCAAATGTACATTATTTGATTCACAGACAATAATTAACAACAAATTTACTTTACACCACCACACAGGCAAGTTATAAACATAAAACAAAACAAATATATTATATCACAAACACAATTTCATTCATAGACAACAATTAACGCCTAATGAAGATTTCACCACCACACACACACACCTTATACACATCAACAAAGGAAGCATACCATATCACACATAAGTGTTGATTCAGACACAATACTTCACATATTCAGTGTATAAACCAGCCCACAGTTCCATGTTCAAACATTGCTAAAAACTCAAGAAATAAAAAAAAAAAACCTAAAAACAAACAAAGGTTGGGAAATGATACATACTACTCCACCATCTCTGACAGTGGGGTTCGCACAATTGCTGAGCTTCGTCGTCCTAAACACGTGCGCGAGGATGGGGCCTCCTCGCTTCAAACCTCTAAACGCTTGGACAGGGCTTCGAATGTCCCAATTTGAGAAAAGTTACTGCGAAAGGGGGGGAGCGAGTGAGCTTCCGGAGATGGATGCCGGTTCACACCTCAAACGCAGAGAGCTCGTGGGGATATGGGTGACAAGTATGGGTGGGGGAGAGGAGTTTCGACTCTCAAGGGCGGTGGGTGTTTTGTTTTTCAAGAAAGGGGGGAGCGAGGGAGTTACGCGAGTGAGGTGAGGGGAAAAGGGGAGGAGGGGAAAAGTGGGGGTAATTTTTTTTGGGGCTTTTATAGTGTGTATAGGGTGGGTGCAATTGTGTGTACAAAGAGCATAATTGTATTTTCAAATACTCCCGACCGACCGGTTTTTAACCGCACAGGAAAGGTTGTTTAATTTAGGGGTGGCTGTCTATTTAATGATTTTTTAAAGTGATTTTGGAGAAAAAAACTTAATATTAAATGTTGGTAGTGTTTGTGTAAAAAGTATTTTTGAAAAAATAAAAGTTTATAATGTTTGGTAAAATAAGTGATTTTTATGCAATGAAAATGGTGAAAAGCAAACAGAACCGGGTAAGGATTAGGGTTGGTACATTGTTGAACTGGTGTAAAAACAGTTTTGGTACGTCGTAGTCTCTTCTTTTTTATACTCTTCATCAGACCAGATCAAACCAACAAATTTCAATTTAAGTAAAAACATCCTTAATGTCCGATAATATTTATTACTCCCTTCGTTCTTTAATTTATAATTTTGTCATGTTTTCTTTTTAGATGATTTCAACACTTTGTCATTTTCTCTTTTAATTAATTAATTTGTGATTCCTGATATTTCTCTCTCCTCTGTACAAACCTTCAATCACACGATTTTTACTTTATTATTTTCAGTGTTAATCGAATTTGGCAAAGTTTTAAGGGACATGAAGAGTAATAGTTTGGTATTGATTCCTACTAAGAATATGATTTGTATTTTTTGTATTTACGTATATACTTATCGTTTTATGTTTATGTACTCCGGAGTATGTTTTAGAGCTCAGAAATACGTGAGGAATGTGTATGAACGTGTGTTGTTGCAAACCACCTGCCAACCTTTATATAGGAGAATTTGCCGTGTGTAAACGATGAATTAATGGATCAGAACGTTGGACATTAATGACCAGTTCGTTGGACATTATCGAATCATGTTTTTACGTTATACTTATCTTTTTATGTTTATGTACTCCGGAGTAGTATACATTAGAGTTAAACTGAACTGAAACATTTTCTTTGTACGAGATAAAATAATTAATTATATCACTTATTAGCAATGTTCTAAAAGGCGTAAGGCGCGCCGATGCGGCACGATAAAGCCTTAAGCCTTTGAAGCCTAGGCGGGTTTAGGCGGGGTTGAGGCGTGAAAAGGCGTTTTGAGATTTTATCCTTTATATTAATTTCCCTAGAGCTATTTTTAAATATTTAAATTGAATATTAAATAATGTTATTTATAAACATCATACTATTCAAATTTAAAAAAAGATTTGTTTAGTCTGTTAGTCCTATATCTTGCAAATATATTTACAAGTTACACAAAAAAACAGAACTAGAAAAATGCGTTGAATGATAGTATTAATAATAACACAAAGAAATAATATGTAATATATGACTAAAATAAGGATATTGGTCAAAATTGTGATTATGTAACTTTTAAAAACTATAATTAGATGTTCCAAAAAAGAGAGCCTATAATTAGGTTCTAATTTTATATTTTAGTGACCATTTTTTGTTGCACTTTCTTTTTTCTTGTAGTATCTGTTCTGTTAAATGTCAACATGTTTGGGAATGTCATAGTGATTTCATCGAACCACAACTTTATTTTAGTGACCATAAAAATATAATTACAGTTATTAGTCACACTTTTGATCCATTAGTTTTATTATAGTATTTCGTAGTACTTGAGATAAAATCTCTAATAAAATTGATAATGGAAAGATTTTGGTAATGATAATAATAAAATATTATAATAATATAATAACAATAATACAATACGGAGTATAATACTTTATACTACACATTTAATTATATTTATATCAATAATATAGTATTAGTATATTAATGATTGATACGGAGCA